GGTGCCGAGGACAGGGAGAATGGAGGGACCCTGAGCGGGATGACTTTCTCCCTGCGCACGCGTGTGCTGAGGTGTTATGGCCTTTTCCATAACCTCCATCCGTGGGGATTAAAGAGCTGCTGCCTCTGCAGCTGCAGGAATCTGCCCCGGCCAGGATGGCTGCGCTCCCCCGTGCCTCAGTTTCCCTCTGCATGGCCTGGAGCTGCCACCACGCACAGCCGTGCCCAGGCATCACCCAGGGCACAAAAACCCCAAGCGATGGGATCAGCTGCCTTCTCTACCGGGTTCAAATCAGCGGCGTTAAGCCCGGTTGTCCCTTGCCATGGCTTTAAAAGCACAAGTCACACCAAGAAAAACAGCACGTGATGTCACCAGGAAGCCACCGAGGCCGGGACATACATGTTGCTCTTCATGTCATGGGGGGACTCCAGGACGGGGATTTTCCCAGACGGTGACACCGTTGGCAGCTTCGAGGGGGCAGCTCAGTCCCTGCCCCTCTCCGGGGGCACGTTAGTTCCACGTCCCCCTCCCCATGCCCTGGTGATGCCGTGTCCCCCCCGCGCTCCCCGGGCAGCATTTTGCAGCAGCCAGGGGAGGTGACGGGTGCCATTCCCCAACTCTGTGTCACCTGCTGTAATAACACCCTGCGCTCCCTTTCATCTCAAGGCCTTCAAGGTGGCCCTCTCCAGGGCGAGGGCGTCCCGGCGTCATCACTTATCATTAATTCCAAGAGACAGCAGGGGACATGGCAGGGTCTGGGGGTCCTGGCCGGTGACAAGGGGACCACAGGCTGAGAGCAGAGCCGTGACCCCCCCCCGCCTTGTGCCAGGCAGTGAAGATGGGTGCTCAACACAGAGCTGCACTGCCTGGGGTGCCAAATTTGGCCACTCAGGGCCATGGTGGCAGCTGGTCGCACAGCCCTGGGGACGTTGGTGTCCCAGCAGGAAGGGTCTGGGGGCAGCGAGCAGCGGTGGCTCCTCTGGGATGGGCTGTGCAGGAGCGAGTGGGGCTGGACGTGGATGTGAGCGATGGGGAGGTGTCCCGGAGTGGTATTTGCTGAGGAAGGCTGACGAGAAGGTCTCTACCTCCTAAAGCCACAGCGGGCGCAGGGAGGCAGCATGTGCGTGGCGATGGCAGCATGTGCGTGGGGACGGTGGCATGCGTGTGGGGACAGCAGCACGTGTGCATGGCACAGTGGCTATTTGCACGGAGATGGTGGCACGTGTGCATGGGGACGGCAGACAAATGCAGAGGGACGGCATCTCGTCTGCATGGGGACAGCTTGTGTCTGCATGGGGACGTGGATGTGCTGGTGTGTGCACGTGGGACAGCCCGGCCGTGCACAGAGATGGCACAGCCGGTACATGCGCAGGGACAGTTGCTGTGGGCATGGGGA